TTTAAATCTGCTCAGGCGTGATTATATGTTCTCTGTGATTGTTTTTAAAACTAGAAAGCAAAAGAAAAGCAGGCAAAATACATAGGTGGGCAAATTACTTGGTTGTAGTAATCTCTTTTCTGCCACCCAACGGACCACTTGAGAGTGGATAAGGTATAAAGGGGCGTGGTTCTGGAGACCTGAAGTCTAAGATTGGGAGGCAGCCTCTGGCAGGGGCCCATGGTGAAGCTTCAGCTCTTGATGCAGATTAAGGACAAGTACAAGCCTGTGGGAGAAGCCGAAGATAAGAAACAGACTCACTTTGTGATAGCCTGCCTTCGCAGGAGCCAATCCGTTCCTGAAAGAACGGCTCAAGTAAAGGCTTCCTAACCACCGCACAATCACTTCTCAGCATCATTGTAAGATGGGTTTTATAGAAAACAAGCCATATTCAAACCATACCAAAAGCCTAGTGGCAGCTGAGCATTGCCTAATATTTAAAAGGCAGTCTTTTTCTCAGAGTCGAAACCTATCAAAGCAGTCCACATTCTCTTTTGACTCTTTGGCTGAGGACATCTGTTTAAAAGGAAACAAAAGAAACTCCTCTCAATGTTTCTCGAGGTTAGTCTTCTCCGGGTGTCCTTTGGAAACATCTCCTGTGTCATACAGCGTTTTCAGTTCGGCTGAAGGCGCGGGAATAATGACCCAAGCCTTTAATGCCAGCCCCCCTGGAGGCTGAGGCAGGCAGATCTCTGCTGAGTTCCAGGACAGTCAGGACTACTTAGTGAGACTCCGTCATGAAGAAGTAAATCAAACTGGAGTTGAATGGCCTGTGATGAAACCGAAGGTCGCCGTCTGCAGCCGTCACCTACGACATCTTCCCTCCCTCAGCTTCAGTTTCCACCCCAAAGGCTGCTTCCTGGTTCTCTTCCACTTGAGAAGCTGTCCTCTGACTCTGGGTTCCCTGGTGCTGTGTTATAACTCTACAGAACTTCTCTCATGCTGTTGTGTATTTTATTTTACCCCAATTTAACCCATGAAGCCAGTCTTCAGGTCTTGTCAAAGGAATGTCCACACTGACTCCATTCTGTACGTGTAAGGAGCACTGGGAAGGGGCACAGAACACAGAAAAGCAAACTCATCTTCTTCCGTGGGGGTCACAAAAGCACCACGATGTACTAGGGTTTGAGGGACACATGCTGTCCCACGTGCTCTTTTTACTTTTTTCTTTTCATTCACTCATTCATTCATTTAACTATTTATTTCTTATGTTGGCTTTGGCTTTTTTTTTTTAACATGGTCTCACTACATACATAAGCCAGCAGTGTAGGCCACCAAATGCTTCACGCTTTAACTTTTGTAACATTGCTTTTAGAAAGAAACTGTTGTCCTCATTTTACAGCTAAAAAAAAAAAATTAAAGAGAATGAGAGAGGTTAAAGTTGTGGGCTCGGGAGGGGGTTTCCTAGCTGGTAATGGAGTGTATGAGCCACTCAGGTGATATGTTATGTTTTAACAAACTAGCCCAAGATAAACAGGCGGGGTGCAGTACAGTGACTCAAGATGGGAACAGCAGCTGCTCCTAATGAAGATGATGTGGGAAGATCCTACAGATGAGGCTTTACCAAGCCTGGGCTAGCGAGCGTGGGGCACTCCCAACAGCTGAAGATAGGAGCATGCAGAAAAGCTGCGGTTCCGCTGCCACCGCAGGGCTTTCCTATGTTCTCAGGAAGGCTCGGGGACTTTCCATTCCCTGCACAAACCCTGAAGATTCTATTTACAGGTCTACAAAATAAAGCCATGAGAACAAATTTTAATTAGCAATCGTTCTGTGCCAACATTCACACTTACAACACCATATGATGGTTAATAATAATGTATAATACTTATTGGGGTTGCTTAAAGTGTCAAAATCCTGCCTGAAGGATTTTCCCTAAGTTATTTCATTTAGTGCTTCCAATATTTCATACCAATTCTTACAAGAGAAAATAAGTGTCTCCATTCCAGACAGAGAATAGAGTTCCCTTTCTCTATGTTTTTAAATTCTCTTTTTATTACTTTTAATTATGTATGTGTATGTAGGGGTGTATGCAAATGAGTTTGGATGCTCAGGGAGGCCATCAGCATTGGATTCCCTGGAGCTAGGGTTAAAAATGGACGGGAGTGTCTGACGTGTATTTGGGAACTGAACCCAGGACCTCTGCAAAAACAGTATGTGCTCTTAATCGCTGAGCCATCTCTCCAGTCCATTTTCTCTGTGCTATGTACTTCATGGGTTCTCAAGACACTGGATGAGGGAAGGCAATCTTCACTCAGGTCTACTGATCCAAATGTTAACTTCTTCCAGAGGCAGCTTCACACATAACCCCAGGGACAGCGTTCCAGCCGTTACCTGGGCATCCCAGAGCCCAGGTTAAACGTCACCTAAAATTAGCTGTTACCAAAGGAGGCTTCCAATACACAAACAAAAGCAATCAGGTGCACAAAGAACCAAAGAGGCACCTCAAAAAGTATTGTTTAGAAGGTTTTCACTGAAATAAGACTTTAAGTTCCCAATGAGAGGGTTTGGTTCTGGACTGGAAAACACATGACTCATTTCCACTTGACTCCTCAGAAGATGGACTGCTGGGCACAGCGGTGCTCTTCAGTGGTCCAGCACTCGGGGATGGAGGAGGGAGGATCAGGAATTCAAAGACATCCTGAGCTACATAGCAAGTTAGAGGTCAACCTGGGCTACATGAAAGATTGTCTCAAAAACAAAAAAGGAAGTATACGAAGTATCCAGCTGATTTGCTGTCGTCTCTAGCCTTGAACCCTCGGTGTGACCAGCGAGGGAAGCACATTTCAAAGCAAGCATCCAGGAGAGAATAGAGAGGTCATTTAATAAAGTCACTAACACAGAGAATCCCACTTCCAGGATGTTGTGACAACATGGGCTTTAAGTTTGCTGTCCACTTTTGAGCTCAGCTCCAACTGAAGGATGACATTGGAAGGTTTCTGCCGGCAACTTGACCAGAATTAATAGTTAAGTTATTATAAAAGACTTAGACAGATGAGACTTTAACGCAAATCTGCCTAAGAAAGTCCATTATTTGGCCCAATATTTAAACAAAACAGAAAGTCTGGTTTTCCTCATGCTAAACCGTCATAGCGATCTATAATCTCTTGAATCTTTGTTTACATGGAAGGCAGCAAACAAACAAACTACTCAGAAGGATTTTCAAGGTTAATTCCTCTGATCTAACTTCTGAAAAGCAGGGTATGCCACATATGTGTTAAATATATAGACTCTATGGTTGAATCGCCCCCAAAATACCAAATTTCCCCACCTCTGAGACTCACTCGGGACAAATGAGCTTCTCCGGGCTTCCAGTTTCTAAAGAATGGTCCTCTCCCAACGGCTTTCTGATTCCCTCCATCCTGAAAGCTTCCCAATCCTGGGCCCCCGAGGGGTGTAGTATAACTCCCTTACAGAAGTCTGCTTGCTCTGTTCTTCATTTCTTATTGTATTCCGGTCTAACCCACATAACAAGTCTCTGAGTTCTTTGGGGCCAACACCGTCATCACTCAGCTCTGGGTTGCTGATGAACAGAGCACTGGCAGGGGCCAGAGGACACAAAGAAACACTCATCTTTTTTCACAATAATAAAGAGAAATGAGTAAAATCAGCCAATATACATTTATTGCTGTGTTCAGGACCTTGTTTGCACAGAACTTACAAAAACTGCTTTCATATACATTTTTCTTTTTCTTCGTGTTTTTTATTTAAATATACCCTCTTGCTCCCTCTCAACATCACAGTTTCTTTTTCTTTATTATTATTTTTATATTATTATATAGATGCCTAGATATATAATATAACCTGCTTGGCCCATTTAGTGTAACTTATATGTATATGATTTCAGGGCTGACCACTTAATAGCGGATAACCCCAGGAAGCCCATCTTTTTTTTTTTTTTTCTTGCTGTTTCTGGCTTTAAGATACAGGGTCTACTCCGCCCAGCAGTCTACGGCCCCAAACCCAGCTTCACATGCTACTCCATTAAATCTTCACAGAATGTCTCTTAGCAGATTTCAGTGTCCTTGTTCTAAGTTAGGGAAATTGAGGCTCAGAGCGAAGCTAAACTCAGGAAAATAATCTCTTGTCAACAAGAAAATTTTAAATGTAGCAAGAAGATGCATCATGCAGGTGAAAATGAGTCTAATCAGTGGACACAGGCTACAGTAACAGGTTCCTCTCCCTCCCTCCTTCATCATTGGCCATATACACTTAACTCGGCTTCTCGCTACGTCCTCTCACACTCAAGTGATTCCCGACCAAGAAACAAAAGCAAAATCGTCCTAGTCCTCAATGGGTTTGGATAAAAACTAGTAAGAAAATCAGGTCAAATCCAAGAGAAGCCACTGGAGAAGAGCGAAGCTGGGCCTGTAGGCATCACACGTGGCAAGACTGAGAGTTTAGATGGGAGCGTGGCCATCCATCAGTCCTACCAGATGCGGTTGAATATTTGACCTGGAGACCTGGTCGTGTTTAAGTTGGTGGTGTGGTTTGGCCTGTAATAAAATGTAGACTCTTTCAAAAAATATATTAAAAAATACAATAACAGTGACTCAGGGAAGCTGAAAAAACACTTAGATGCTCCAGGACAGATAATATGGAAAGATTTCACAGGAAAGGCCATAGGACATTTAAAAAAAAACATATTTAAAAAATACAATAACAGTGACTCAGGGAAGCTGAAAAAACACTTAGATGCTCCAGGACAGATAATACGGAAAGATTTTACGGGAAAAGCCGCAGCAAGCCTGGGCTGGCACAGTGGAATATCATCAACAGTTGGAGGCAGAAACATGGCAAAAAGCCGTGGTTTCCCTCCCAGTAGCCAGTTTTTCTGGTAGTCTTTGGCAGGTTCCAGGACTCTTCATTGCCCCCTTAAGCACTGGAAGACTCACAGTGTACAAACAAACTCATGCAAACAGAGCTTGACTAGCAATGTTTTGTAGCAGCTCCGCACTGTCCACTGCCTTAGAAACTACCACACACGCATTCACCACAAAACCCAGGTCACTTAATGGCTAAGGAGATTGGATAAGGCAGGTCACCAACTGATATCAGTATTTCTCTCTATCAAATATATGTAAATATTCTGGTCGCCATCCAAACTCCTTAGTGGAGCAGACACATAAATACCCTCCTTGCGCGGCCACCTCGCTTAGCATGTGCAAACATGGTGCCAGGTCCGAAGGTCCTTCTGCTCCTCAGCCTGCATCTCCTGCAGGAGACACAAAGCTCCATGGTCCATCTCAGTAACAATGGGTACGAGGGAGTGGTCGTTGCAATTAACCCCAGTGTACGAGAAGATGAAAGACTCATCCAAAGCATAAAGGTAAGAAGGGTTTTATTATCTGCATATTTACATGTCAGTAATTCTTTTTTACTAAAGCCACTATGACTGTGTTTGTCATGTCTGCAATATTACCAGTCAAGATAGCATCTGCTTACTTTATATTTTTATTATACATTAAAATCAGTGTCCAAGCTCTAAATAAATTATTAACTATTTAAGGTAATAGATTTAGAGCAAGTGGAGAAATGTTCTCATATCTTATATTAATGCTGTTGATTTTACAAGGTCTATACAGCAAATATACTCTTAAAGCCCAGAAGATGCTGCCTTATGCTAACATCTTTACCTATCTTACCTTCAAGAAAAACTTAGACATGTTTGAAGTTGGTTAGTTCTTAAATGCATTTGTATAATAAAATCATGTGTGGAATAATGTACTTTGTTCTTAGATCCTCTCAAAATCTCCATGGTGGTTAGGAACACAGGGTTTTTTGTCCTCTATCAATGGAACGATTGGCTTTTAGGATCATAGCAAGCAGGCAGCTGAAACAAGTCATTCTTGTTTATCTTTATCATTAGTGCGTGGGCAATCCTAGCATGGAAGGGCTGAGAGACCAGCTCCCAGCCCCTACCCAGGTTCCTCTGAGAAAATCTTCCCGGGAGTGGAGGAAGGAGTACACTTCACACACGCAGGGGCCAATGCTCTTCATTCCGTTGTGCTCTTTATTATCCCGATACAAATTCCCAAGTACACATCTATCCATTCAGTAACAACTTGTTAGTAATAAAAAAAAAAAACTACAAGGCAAATTCGCAGGGACACGGGCATTCTTCGAGGATAATGATAAAAGTCACAGTAGCAAAACTTACCAGCTAAGCTGCAGTCCATAGCAGCTGCATCAGTAAAGGTTCCCTTACCTCCTAAAGGGGCTGGGGTGCTGCTACAGGTTACAAAGGGAGGAACCTAAACCATTAAGAGATCTAAGAAAAGGGCAAAGAATACATGCATTATTTTACATTTCTTAAGTGTAACTAATAGTGTAGGCTAATATTTTGTGGTCCTTAAAACAGAGGTAGAGGAACAGAAAAGCACCGGAACGTCGCTTTTCCATGGCAACCTGAGTAAAGAAAGGGGAAGCAAGCGGTGCTGATCTGTATCCGCAGTTTCACCAAAAGCTGGCTGCACACAAAGGGAACCTTTCAGATTTAAGAATCCATTCTCTGCCCTTCAGTCGTTTCAGAACCTAGGGAGTGGACCTAGTAACTTTTTGTTCATGACTAGAGGGACTGGGCAATTGTTTCATAGCTCTGACTATTGCGGAGCTGGTTTCCACCATAGAGCTCAGGTAATGCTAAATCCTTTTCCCACTAGGTTAGCTAACCAGCTGGTCAATTATCTGTTATTCACATAAAATCCAGGGCTGAAGGTAAACAGTTAGTAAACTGAGCTTAGTTAGATCTTGCATCGGAAGTTGATGTGTAAGTTGTAAACAAAGCATGAATTGCTATTTTGAGTTAGAACAGAGAAGTGCCGCTTAAATTGCTATTAATCTCTTGAAGGACTATGATATAACAAGGACAGACACCTGCAATGCCACCCTAATTCATCATAAATCTTTGAAGGACTTAGATCTAGCAAGACCAGATACCTGCAATTCCTCTCTGTGAATGTTCCTCCTGTGATCTCTCCACAAGGACTTCGTATGGCCAATTTGACTTGTCAGTCAGGCTATGATACAAAGATGGGACTATGGGAGCTTGTTTTATATACAAGAAAATATAGCGTAGGAAGAAGTCATCCTTCTATCAGTACACAGAGAAACAGTACCCAGAAACTGAGTGATACACTGCCGGAATTTGTGGGACAATTCCCAAGCTGTTTATAAAGAGAAACCGTGGGATAACACGAGAATAGCAGATAGAAACAGCCAGTTACTTATAGGCAATATTTTTCATATGACCTTGATTAAGAACTTAACCTCCATCAGAAAATTAATTTCTCTAATGTGTAGCCTTAGAAACACCAGCTGTCATTACTGCATATCTTCGTGGACTCCATCACTAAAATGATGCAGTAGGTTTATATTCTGATGGATGTGTGTGTGTGTGTGTATATATATATATATATATATATATATATATATATATATATATGTAACTATGATAGTTAACAAGGAGGTCGTGAATTTGGTAGGGAGAGTGGAGGTTATGGGGCAAGTTGGAGGGGGTGGGAGTGATGCAGATTCATATTTATACATGAAGTTTTCAAAAGATATGTTTCTATAATCTAGTCTTATATGTATAAACTCTACTTAGTTGATAACTACAAGTAAAACAAAAATAATTCTAATAACATCAAATACAAATGTTGCCAGACTTTTACCAGTTTTTTCAAACAACCCAATTCTAAGGAAATTGATTAAATAAACAACTTGCCTACAGACTTCTGCTCATAATGACCTTTATACCTCACCCAGAGACTTCAACCCCACCCCCACCCTAACCGCTAGCTGGAGGGATGGGCAAGTGAGAATGAGAGTTGGCTTTGGGCACCTGGGAATGAATTCATAGACTGGAGAGATTCAGGAAAATGTATTCTACTCTTTCAGTTACTCCATGCAAACATATTTGAGGAAGAAGAGGCCCCATCTATTTCTTCTGGTTTAGGTAGAGACATTCTTGCTCGTTTTGTTTTGACATTCTTACCACAGGGCACTTTTAATTTTCTCAGGAAATGATAACCCAAGCCTCTAGTTACCTGTTTGAAGCCAGCAAAGGAAGATTTTATTTCAGGAATGTAAGCATTTTGGTCCCGATGACCTGGAAGTCAAAATCTGAGTACTCAATGGCGAAACGAGAATCATATGACAAAGTAGGTGTCACATCCAGGCCCTAAACTGTTTCTTATGCCTTTTCCAAATGAATACATATGGGGTTTAGTAATTATTAATCATTAAGTTAGTAACTAGTAATATAACTATTCTTTTGTTGAGTGTATTTATGTGTATACATGTGTGTGAGCTATGTTTCTGTACATGTCCACATGTTTGTGCATATGTGTGTGTAATGTGTATGCCTGTATGTGTAGAGTGTGTGCATGTGTGTGTAGGGTATGTGACTGTGTGTGTATATATGTGTGCACACATGCTAATGCAGGAGTCAGAGGTCAATACTTGGTGCCTTCCTCTATTTACTTTCGACCTATAATTTTTTGAGACAGGATGTGTTACTGAATTTGAGAGGCATCAATTTAGCTAGACTGGCTGGAGAACCATCTCTGGTACTCTGCCTGTTTCTACCACCTTATTACTGGGGTTACAGACATGGGTCTTTAAAGCGGGTGTTGGGACTGGAACTCCAGTCCTTGTTCATAAACAGAAAACACTTTAACCCACTTAACACAGCCATAACTTTGATCAGTTTAGATTTAAGACAGTTCTTATTTGTAGAGTCTCTTGTTTCTAATGATCTTAAAATTTGACTGGGTTTGTTCTGCATTTTAGGCAGACGTCATAGTTGCTGATCCTTATCTGAAATATGGAGATGAGCCCTACACACTTCATTATAGACAATGTGGAGACAGAGGACAGTACATACATTTCACTCCAAACTTCCTACTGACTGACAATCTGCTTATGTATGGACCCCGAGGTAGAACTATCTATTCTGTATATATTTATATATTCCACTAGGGAAAAGCAAACCACCACCATTAAGTGGATTTCTAAGACTTTAAGGAAAGCAAACATTAAGTAACACCTTTATTTGAAAATATGCCAGCTACCTTCCACCTCTTTGTGCATCCAAACTTTTAAATATAATCGGGCACTTATTGTAACTGGCATATTTGAATTTTTGAGCTACTAAAAAGTATAAATTTCTAGAGTTTGTAACAATTGCAATTTTGGAAATGGACAAAATGATTGAAAATAAAAGGAAACTGAGTTCAAATATTTTAACTACAGTTTTACAGATGACAATCTTCCCTCTCAGGCAGAGTCTTTGTCCATGAGTGGGCCCATCTCCGGTGGGGAGTGTTTGATGAATATAACACAGACCGGCCCTTCTACATGTCCGGAAAGAACGCTCTCGAAGCAACAAGGTAAACTGATTCTACACCTTCTTGCCTATGGCTTCAGCTCTCTGTACTGGGCAGCGCAAGTGGGCAGGTATTCAGACAGCTCATCACAAATTCAAGCCGCACCATTATGTGCTAATATATATCCAACTAATCCTCGGGATAGCTATAGGTACTGGGACCTGTCGAGATTCAGGTGATCTCCCCAGATCAAACCTGATCCATATCAGTTTTGAAGGAATCCACATCCTCTTGTTTCCTGTGGAAACAAAAGCAAAACTGCTTCTCCAAAGCATTTTTGATTTCCACTTGACAATTAAGTTTTTTGCCTTTTTTTTTAAGTTAAGGGATTTTTTAAATATCCAGGCTGGCTTATCTCGACCGCCCCTCTTTCAGTTCCAGCTCTCTCAGCTGTCCTTTGCTTTTCAACAATCAAAAAATTCAAGATCAACACAGTAACACACAGGATCCAGACTCCCTCTGTATTTTGCATCTTTGCATAGCTTATTTCTGTTATATTACTTTTACTGTCTCTTTAAATATTTTATTTAATTTTTTAAACTATTCATTTTTTCTATGACTATGCCCTTTTTCTTTTCTTAAGCCTACACACAATCGTTAAACACACTGTGGCCTAGTTCAGAGGTCTGTCCCATCTGGACCTTTTGTACTGCATACCTTTTATCCTTTTTTGACTGTGTGAGCAAACATATAAACTACTAACCCACACCGGATTCTCTGCTTGGCTCTCTTGGCTGACTCTGCCCGCTCCCATCATGAAAGCCAGTCCTAAAACCCTTGTCCTGGGTGGAGGATGCCAAGAACTGCCCTCAAGCTTCCTAGATCTCTAAAATGCCGGTGCTTGTGCTGTGGCAGGCATTTTCACTTAGTTTTTTGTTCCTACTTAACCTACTGACTGCTCAGCAGCTTGCCAGCAGACAGAAGCTCTTAAAGGAGCCATATTTTTTTTTCAGTTTTCTCAAGCACTATGGAACTCCAAGTGCCACGTTGGCATGCCAATATGTTGTTGGATGTTTTTGCTCTTTGGAGGGGCCCGCCATCCAGCTCCCAAGTAAATCACCCATGGAGGCTCATTATTTCTTTTAAAAGCCCAGCCTTTGCTTGGCTTGTTTCTTGCCAGCTTTTAACTTAAATTATTTCACCTATCTTTTGGATTTTGGGCTTTTCCTATTCTCTTCCTTCTATAAATCTTACTCTTACTCCGTGACTTACTGTGTAGCTGGGTGGCTGGCCCCTGAAGTTCTCTTCCTTCCTCTCTCATTACCAGAAACCTTTTACTCCCAGATCTCTCCTCTTATTTATCCTCTCTACCTGCCAGCCCTGCCTATTTCTCTCTCCTGCCTCACTATTGACTGTTCATCTCTTCATTAGACCATCAGGTATTTCAGACAGGCAAAGTATCACAGCTTCATAGAGTTAAACAAATGTATCATAAACAAAGTCACCCCCTTACAATAATATTTCCCATTGGTGAGCATCATATGTGAATATTTAAGAGGATTTTAAGCATAATTTTGACTCACCTCACTCTGCCAAAAAAAATTTAGTTCATTTAATATTTACAATATTATTGTAATATAAGAATAACTATCTTTTTTTAACTCATAGAAAGACAATAGGTTTACTGACCATATTAATAAGCAATGAATGTTTAAGGAATCTGAACTGAATATGTGGTTCTCAGCAGGGAATATGGCTCAGACTATGAAGCATTTGCTTAGTGAGAAACTAAGACTGATTCCCAGAAGTCACACAAGCATGCTGGCATGGCAGTGCATGTCTGTAGTCCCAGCACTGGGGAGGGGGAGAAAGGAAGATTCCGGGGCTTGCTGGCCAGTCAGTCTAGCCTAACTGGTGAGTTCCAGGCCAAGAAGATTCTGTCTCAAAGGAGGCGAATTGGATGGCTAAGGATAACCACTAAGGTTATACTAAGATTACACTCTGTCCTTCACACATACACATACGTACACACGCACAATGAGTACATATTCCAAACATATACATACCTAAAAAGTAACAGTAAAGGATGAAAATGCTGACTCCATGTAAACCACGGTAGGGATGGGGAAAGCCCTGTGTCTACTCTTGGTGTGGAGTTCTTGGTACACGATGACCAAGTGACACGATGCTGTCACTGATAGATATTTTAGGGTGTTGACTTGCCTAGGTTTAACTTCTACTACTGAGAAAAATGAAGGAATTTAAAAAAATGGGGGCTGAAGAAGTAGACACCTGGCAGAGGGTTGACCTGGCACGTACAAGCCCTGGCCTCAACACCCAGAACCAGTGCAGTAATCTAATTTTTCTGTCACAGATGCTCCACTGGTATTACTGGCAAAAATGTGGTCAATGAATGTCAGAGAGGCAGCTGCGTGACAAGAAAATGCCGGCGAGACTCAAAGACAGGGCTCTATGAACCCAAATGTAAATTTATCCCAAACAAATCTCAGACTGTTCCGGAATCCATAATGTTCATGCAAAATCTCAGTTCTGTAAGTACTTTCTATTTATTTTTTCAAAAAAGAATCCTTGGGAAATTAACTGCGGAAGGGTGGAGAAAATTAACGTTAGGACTGATTCAAGGTAATCTTCTCCAGGCTGTGTGTGATGTGTCTGTGAATTATCCCGCTCCCTAGAAGCAGCCTGTGGCCTGTGCCTTTGCTTCATATGTGCAGGGTACTCTTCTCAAGGGAACCTTATGATGCCACCGTAGAGTGCCTCTCCCTTTGCTTCCGTCTGTTGATCTTGTGTCTAGAGTAACACGTGGAGCTTTTGACATTCTAAAATTTTCATTTTCTTCTCACTAAAGCTTATCAAATGTTTACAAAGCGTTGCTGTTATAAAACTGTCATAGCAACAAGTTCACTGAGCTCGACCTAAAAGTCTTTCAACTTACAGCCTGAGGAGTGACAAGGTGTTTGGGAGTCAGACGGTCTCGGTACAGAAACCCATTCTTCCGCTGTCATTGAGGGAAAACTGATAAATCGGAGATTTATTTCTCATCTATTTTTAAGATTTGTTTTTAATTGTGTGTGTCTGTGTGCCTGTGTATCTATGTAGGTGTGTACAAGGTGAGTGTGATTTCTGGAGCCTGCAGAGGCCATGGTCATTCAGTGTCTTGGTGCTGGAGTTACAGACAGTTGTGAGCCCACCACATGGGTGCTGGGAACTGAACCCAGGTCCTCTATGCTCTTTATGCTGAGCCATCTCTTTAACCCCTTGTCCTCTCATCTGTAAGTGGAAACTAAAATATACAGTCTGCATTGTTATCATTGTTGGTTTATAAGGGCCATTATAAACAATGTCTTAACAGTGCTTGACACAAACTAGACACAAACAGATTTTTAATTATAAAATTCATAATATAATTGGAAAATAACTACTTGGCTCTTTCTCAGGATTAGCCCATCTTTTGCTTTCCTAGTCTTTAATTGATAAAAAGAACTAATTTTAATAGACACATAATAAATAAAGTGTGATAGCCCAATAGAGGTATACAATATGTAATAGTCATCTAGAACTAACTGTCACATTCATCACCTCAAACACAAAGTTTTGTGTTGCAAATATTCGAAATTCTCATATCTTGGTAACTGTGATCACCCACTGGGTACACTGTCGCCGTATAAACACTGAACCCACTCCTGCTCTCTAGGTGAAATTTTGCACCTAGTAACCAACTCTCTCATCTCCCCTTCCCACTCTGCTGCACAGCTGCAGTGAACTCATACTGGATTCTACTTCTATTAGATTAACTTTTCTTAGATGAGTAAAATACTTGTCGTCCTGTGTCTAGCTTATTTCAGCTAGCACAGTGTCCCCAAGGATCATCAATGTGTGACAAGTAATAGTACGTCATTCATTTTATGGCATAATGTTCCATATATGCAACATTTTATTTATCTAGTCATCCATTGATGGACACTTACCTTGACTATATGTCTGCATTTTGAGCAGCACAGCCAACATGGCCATGCAACAAGAGAGTAACATACTGATTTCCTTACAGTGATTCCTATATATACCCAGTTATGGGATTTCTGGGTCTTCTAGTATTTCTATTTTAGGTTTTGGAGGAACTTCTATAGTTTGCCCTAAAAATGACAGAATTAATTCATATACCTAACCAACAATGCAAGTTTATCTTTCCAGTATTCTCTTTAACATTTATTTGGCTTTTTTATTATAGCCCTCTAACTAAAGGGAGATGGGTTTTTTCCTTCACTGTGGCTATAATCTATACTTCTTGACAACAGTGTTAAATTTCATTTGTAGGTCTGTTCTTCTAAATGTCTATTCTTATCATCTGCTGATTTTCAGTCAGATTATTTGTGGACTTTACTGCTCAAGTTCTTCCCTTAAATAACATAAATTCTGAATATTAATCTCTTGTTAGATGAGCAGTTTACTTTGTTTTCTGCTACTGGGAAGACTGTGTATTTACTTTTATTTATTTGCTGTGCATCCCAGTGTTGATGGGAAGAAAAGTTTCTATACAGGTAGAAATATATAAAATATGAGACTTATGAAAGTATTCAAAACAACTAATCAAAATAATATATCTCCAAAATGCAAGATCGGTTCATTAAAAGAAGCGAATTGCTGGCAACAAATATTTACAAGGCAGAGGTTTATAAAGCTCTATAGTTTCTAATAAAGTTTAAAAGTCTTATGAAGCCTAGGGAACGATGAAAATCCAAGTAGAAATTCAGTCTTTAAATTTTCTTCTAAAAATTTTTAAAATGTATTTATTTTATGTGAACAGGTGTTTTCCCTCTCACCACACACGTGTCTGGTGCCCACAGATTCCAGAAGAGGGTGTCAGAGTCCCTGGGACTGTATTACAGATAGCTGTGAACCACCATGTGGGTGCCAGGCAAGGTCCTCTGCAAGAGCAGCCAATATTATTAACCATCTTTCCAGGCCTCTCTTATGTCCCCATAGTCTTTCCAGGTTTTAAGTGGATGTGCCTCATGGACGTATTTGCCACGTGACTAAGGAACTTCTCAGCTGAAACTGGGACAACAAAATGATTTAACATCCAAACAGACAAGAAATTGTGTGCCTCAAGAGGATGTTCAGACACACATTGGCCCCCATAAGCTCATAGGGAGTGGCACTATTAGAATGTGTGGCTTTGTTGGAGTAGATATAGCCTAGTTGGAGTAGGTTGGAGGAAGTGTGTCACCACGGAGAGGGCTTTTGAGGTCTCATATATGCTCAGGCCACAGCCAGTGTCCCAGATCACTTCCTATTGCCCTCAGATCAAGACTGTAGGACTCTCAGCTTCTTATCCAGCGCCATTTCTGCCTGCAAGCCACCATGTCATGCCATGATGATAGTGGAGCAAACCTCTGCTGCTATAAGCCAGCCCCAATTAAATGTTTTTATAAGAGCTGCCATGGTCATGGTGTCTCTTCACAGCAATAGAAACCCTAACTAAGACAAGAGGTAACTTCTACTGCCTACCGGGTACATGAATAATAAGGAGATGCCTAAGTGCCTGAAATATACAGGAAAGCTAATCACAGAAGACATTGTTTGGAGACAAAATATTGTTTGTTAGACATGTATCTTATCTGAAATAATAATAATTTCTAATTGTCATAGCATTGATTAAATATACTATATAATCAGAGCATAAACTCAGACCCAGGAGATAAATTATGTAAATTTTTGAACAACGTATTATTCTTTCCCTTGACCTTCAATCAATTTCAAGTCCAGCACTGTGATAAAAGCTATAAATAAATAATTATAAGATGAACTGTTTTTGAAGAATTCAGTTTAATGAGAGAGATAGAAATACCAGGAAAAGTTTTAATACAAAGTAGGAAGAGATAGAGCTAATGCTGATGCTTCCGAAGGGCAGACAACGGCTTCTATCTGTGGCCATACCACTCTGAAGGGAGCCAGTCTCCTATGATCCGGGGAGCAAAGCACAGCCGGGCCTCTTAGTGCTTGAATTGGAAGCAAGAACTTTCCAATGGATGCTTTTTAGACTAGAGTTGATAGAGGCAAGTATAATGTGCCAAAGCATGAAGACGGAGTGGATAACGTGCCAAAAACAAACCTGACCAAAGCAGAGTGTGTCCAGCTTCACCTGGCCTCCACTCCAGGCTTGTAAAATCAGTATCCAAACGTCTGACAACAACGTGATTCTCGTCAGGAGACAAATCCTGTTCAGGATGCACGTGGCAGCTAACTTCATATCTGGAAAAGAAGGCGATCCCTTACAAGTGTTTACAATATCCTGTTTAAATTGTTTTTTCCCCAGGTGGTTGAATTTTGCACAGAAAAAACCCACAATACGGAAGCCCCAAACCTCCAAAATAAAATGTGCAACCGCAGAAGCACGTGGGACGTAATCGCGGAGTCTGCTGACTTCCGGAATGCCTCTCCCGTGGGAGGAGGAGAAGCACCGCCTCCACCTACATTTTCATTGCTGAAGTCCAAACAGCGAGTGGTCTGCTTGGTGCTGGACAAATCTGGAAGCATGAACAAAGTAAGACACTTTCTACTGGAGTCCTTAAATTAAGTATTTAAGCTAAATATTGAACTATAGTTTATTCTTAGGTTTAATAAACTAACACAAATATTTATGTTCAAATATGTACATTAATGTTCAGATGAATACCTGCCCATGGTTTTACCTAAATAAGTACCTAGAATAAGTTAAAAACGAAGTTTTGCTTTATTGTTTATAGATTATTGGCCATTTTTACTCCTCAACTTTCAGTTCTTACTAGAAAAGAAACAAGCGAAAGGAAATCTGTAATTTCACCATTCAATGTAGCATTCCAGCTGCATTTTCATTACTGCATTTGCTTTTCCTCCACAAAACTGTTACAGTTTAGGCATTTTGTAGTCCAACTTTTATGGAATATACCATAAGCACTCCTCATAAAAAATGATTTCATGAAAAATAATTTGTGTGGTGCAGTGTAGTGTGTATCTGTATGTGTGTGTGTGTGTGTTGCTGGGAATTGAACCCAGGGCCCTTACATGCTAGGCAAAAACTCTAACACTAAATAGTTTGGGGGTTTTGTTTCTTTGTTTTCAAGACACTGTCATATTATGGAGCCATAGGTGGCCTGGTGTTTGTCATAGTTTCATAATTATGTATTCTGAAAATTTTTTTTTTTATTTTCAAGACAGGGCTTCTCCGTAGCTTTTTTTTTTTTTTTCCTGGAACTAGCTCTTGTAGACCAGGTTGGTCTCAAACTCAGAGATCCGCCTGCCTCTGCCTCCCGAGTGCTGGGATTAAAGGCGTGCGCCACCACTGCCCGGCTGTATTTTGAAAATTTTCACCCCACCACCCTGCCTTGTCCCTTCTCGCTCCATCTCATCAAATATCCCTACTACTTTGATGGGTGTTATAGGAATAACTCACTAGATATAAAAAGCATAGACGATTTATTAGTGGCTACTTGTGAAGAAATATGAGCCCCTGTCCCCAGCAGCCATTCACTGCCCACTACCCATAGCTCTGCATGGGCCCTCCCCCATCCATACTGAGCTGCTGATGGACTTGATCTTGTCAGGTAACCACAGCCTCTGATCTCATCAGTGCAATGGCCATGGCTATCCAGAGGACAGTGTTCACAGCTCTGTCTCTCACATTCTTTCCACCTCCTCTCCTGCTGTGTTTCCTGGACTGGGGAGGTAGACAGATCGAGCACTTAGGGTTGATCACTCACTCAAAATCCATTTACTCTCAGCACTTTGACAGTTATGACTTAAGAATTAACCACTTCCCACTGCAAAGAGAAGCGGCTATGAATGCCCTAAAAAGTTAAGACTCTGAAGGCGGCACTAATCGATGGGTATAGACATATTTAGAAGGCAAAAATGTACATATTTCAGAATATGTACACTTGGCAAAACTGATAGTAGTTTCCCACTACAGCCTTTGGCCACCCCAGCCTTGGGCTCATGAACATTTTTGCAGTACAAAGTACAAATTCTCTCTTGTGGAAAGGGCCTCATATCTGATCATAAACCCACAACAGTCATATGGCACATTGTTTGGCAGGTGGACATTGTACTGTTCAGGGTCCACCATTGAATAAGACAATTATTGACTTTTTTCCCCAGGGGCCTGTGTATACCTGGCAACATGGAAGCTATCCAACAGAGAAGATGCTTCTTGCCTATCTCCAGTTTAATTTCTCAGTGTCCTAAATAAACCAAGGTGTGCTGCCTAGTTCGGGGTTGGGGCGGGGGGCATCCAAAAGCAATGATAATGACCTATATTGTTTGGGTCTTTGGAACCTCCTTGGTCATAAACTCATAAGGGATATCCCACACCTGGCACTGGATTTTTAATAACCTAGACCTTCTAGGAGCAGCGATATCCCATCAAGAGCGCAGACATGATTTTTAGAGGTTTTATCATGTGAACAGTGTTCCATAATCTACTCAAGTAATTCCTTACTAATGGACATTTTGGAGATCTTCACTGTGCTGCTTTTTAAAAATACATGCCATTGGATTGGAGAGATGGTTCAGTGGTTAAGAGAACTGGTTGTTCTCCTAGGAGACCTGAGTTCAATTCCCAGCAGTCACATCGCAGCTCACAACTGTCTGTAGCTCCAAGATATGACACCCTTACAAGACTTATATGTACACCAATGCACATGAAAGTAAAAATAAATAAGTTATTTAAAAGATATCTTGGGGCTGGAGAGATGGCTCAGTGGTTAAGAGCATTGCCTGCTCTTCCAAAGGTCATGAGTTCAATTCCCAGCAACCACATGGTGGCTCACAACCATCTGTAATGAGGTCTGCTGCCCTCTTCTAGTCTGCAGACATACATGCAGACAGAATATTGTATACTGTATACATAATAAATAAATAAATATTAAAAAATATATCTTTATAAAAAATACATGCCATTGAGCATCTTCTCATGCACTTAAAAAAATCATTTTCTCAGCTGAAACTTCCAAACAGATAACTATTTTAAAAAAGCATAGACTTCGAAGATTTTCACAGCCAAAAACTGTTGTTTGAACATTTCAAACTTTTCAATAATACGAAAGAGGTAAAGTTTTTTAAAAGCCCATTAATTATGACCAGGTTCTGTCAAGATTTAAAGAGACTCTGTGGTTGTTCATATATCTCTTTCTTACAGGATGACCGTCTTATTCGGATGAATCAAGCAGCAGAACTTTATTTGACTCAAATTGTTGAAAAGAAATCTCTGATTGGATTAGTCACATTCGACCAACAGGCCAGAATCCAAAATTATCTAACAAAAATAACTAACAGTAATGACTATCCAAAGATCACTGCAAATCTCCCACAGCAAGCTTCGAATGGAACTTCAATTTGCAGTGGAATTAAAGCAGGATTTCAGGTAATCTTTTAAATGTAATATAATTTGCCATTTACTTATTGCTTTCCATACTATTCATATAGCTTTGAACACAGGTCATGAACTCAGAGTCCCAGCATTTAATAACATTCTGATCTGAATGAGACAAAGGCTTTCTGGAAGAAAAAAAAATGTAGCTTCACCAACTATTAACTAGAGCCACAGCCTCTCGATGTCCAGTTGTGCCATTGATAAAATCTTGAGAAGGAGTGGCACTGGGGAGTGGCTGAGGTGAAATTTCATTGGGCAAATGATCACCAAAACCTCCCTGAGGAGCTCCACTTGTCTCTAAATTCTCACAGATAGAGTTTCTAGGCCAGGAAGATAATGCCAGTGAATGGACAGGAAGGAAACAGTGACAACTTTACAGTATGGATAAAAGTCATAACAAACTAATTTAAATTAAATTAAAATACTATCCAGAGATAGAGAACGGTAGCTCCACACACAACATGCAATGAACATAGGTAGATATAAATGAAATCATGACTGTGAACTTAACAATGAGGACTTCCTTTTGACCAGTGTCCTCAAGGGTCATGGCATTGGTCTAGTCTCTTCCCCCAAGTTAGCCTCCATGCCAGTGTGTTTGCGGTCATGTTTTGAGTCACTGAAACAGACCATTTCCTCCACTCGTGAAAGTCGTCACTGCTGCTCTGTGCAGACCATTGGTTCACAGTCTCTCTCAGCTTCCTTTGTGGCTCCCGTTTGTCAAAAACCAGATTGGCTTTAGAAACCTGAGGTGCTCACTCTACTGCGAATTATCTAAAAGATGTTGGGAAAGTAACTCAAAATTGAAAATCGGTTGCCTGAACTCAGATCATACGGGTATTAATATTGCTCGCCTCATTTAAGTGTGACAAATATGTAAGATGTATAAATGTTTACCAAGTTTTGCTATTATGAAAATAATTATGATGTCTATTTGGTTCTAAAATATGAGTACTATATATTACAAATATACTCAAATTCATGTATAAATTGGTGTGTGTGTTGCCCTTCGTAAATTTTATCGTACCTTATATTTTGGTCATAAAGTTTATTGCTGTACAGATGATGGCAAATTACATTCAATGTTATTAACAGCTTTTACTTAACAAAATCTTATCAATACATGTTTATCACTTTCAAAATCATTAAAAAGTAGCTGTGCATTGACTGTATACTACATTACTGTCTGTGGTAAATGCTTTAGGTGCAGGATCTTATATCCTTTGAGGAGTTGGGTAATATTACTATATCATTCTGCAGAAAAAGAAGCTGAACTTTAGAGTAATAAAATCCCTCTCAAGATCATAAGACAATTATCAAATCTAGGATTCAGAACCTGATCTCTAGAATCTATAAACTAGATCATGGCATTAACAATCTGTGGGGGGGGGGTGGTAATTTGGGCAAGTCTCAGGAGAGACAAAACATAATAGTTTATATTTTTAAAAAAGAAATTTAAAAATATTCTCAAGATACCTAAAACCAAGGTCTCTAAAACTACCTAGACTCTTAGCTAATACTCTTAGTAGGAGAAGTCAGGAAAATATGATTGAAAATTTATCAACCTCTTCCTTCATGATAAGCCAAAATTGCTTGGTTTTGTTTCAGTTTTGGAAAATCATAAAATTCTTTAGTAGTAACCAGATAGAACACATTAGAAAGTCAAATAATAAATAATTCAATCTTGCTCACCTACCTTTGGCTATGATTTTGCAAATGCTATTCGTCTGGGAGTCTCGTATCTTTATCAAGTGCTCAGGGGATGATAGCAGCATCTATATTCAATAGGTAGCTACTATGTGGCAACAACTGTTATTGGTTTGTTCTTCCTTTATAT